AACATGGGAATAAATATCCCTAACATGAAACATGGGAATAAATATCCTGAACATGGATCACAGGAATAAATATCCTTAAAATGAGACATAGGAATGAATATCCTTAACATGAAACATGGGAATAATAATCCCTAACATGAAACCTGGGAATAAATATCTTTAACATGAAACATGGGAATAAATATCCTGAACATGGATCATAGGAATAAATATCCTTTATATGAGACATAGGAATAAATATCCTTAACATGAACCATTGCAATAAATACTCTTAACATGAAACATGGGAGTTTATATCCTTAACATAAAACATGGAAATAGATATCCTTAACATGAATCATGAGAATAAATGTCCTTAACATGAAACAGAGGAATAAATATTTGTAACATAAAACATAGGATTATACATCCCAAGTAAGAATAAAATGAATAAACATCGTTAATATGAAACATGGGAATAAATATACTTAACATGAAACATGGGAATAAATATACTTAACATGAAAAATAGGAATACATATTTGTTACATGGAACATAGGAAATTCAATTGAAATTGAAAAACAAAAATCCTTAACAGGAACAATGGGAATAAACATCCAATATATAAAACATGACAATACATATCCTTAACCAGAAATTTTGGAATAAACATAAAACTGAAAACAAATACCTTGAACATGGGGACAATTATCCTAAACATGAAAGCACTTTAAGATTTTAAAGAATAGTACTAAACAGTCTTTAAATGTCTATTATCTGAATAAAACCCAAAATAAAAGTTTCATTCAATAGTACATGTACTCAAATGTCTTAAATTGTTATGCCCCCGCCGTAGCATTAAGTGTAACCCTTGTCCGTCTGTACGTACGTCCCAAAGTTGGTTTCCGTTCTATAACTTTAGTTTGCCTCAACCAAATTTTATGAGACTTATACACAATGCTTATTACCACAAAACAGAGATTGAGTTTGAATTTTGTTGGGGTCACTTAAATCGATTTAGAGTTATGCCCCTTTATAAATAAAAAAATTGCTAAATTTTTAGTTTCCGTTCTCTAACTTTAGTTTGTCTCAACCAAATGTTATGAAACTTATACACAACGCTTATTACCTCAAAACACAGATCAAATTCGAATTTTGGTTGTGTCACTTTCATTGTTCTAGAGTTATGTCCTTTTCTAAATGGAAAAAATACTGTTTTTTTTTTTGTTTCCGTTCTCTAACTTTAGTTTGATTCAACCAAATGTTATGAAACTTATACACAATGCTTTTTACCACAAAACACAGATAAAGTTTGAATTGTAGTATCGACACTTTAACCGTTCTAGAGTTATGCCCCTTTAAAAATGGAAAAATTGCTGAATTTTTTGTTTCCCTTCTCTAACTTAAGTTTGCCTCAACCAAACGTTATGAAACTTAAACACAATGTTCTTCAGTTATGTTCATTTATAATTTGATATGATATGCAAGCGGGGGCATCGTCTATGTCCCATTGACACATTCCCAATTTATTTCTTTTACATGTATAAGTCCCAAATACAAGCATTTAAAACCATTTACCGAAATACAATAAAAACAATGATTTATTTAAAAAAAATATTATATCACTTTAATTTAAAGACATGAATCTTAATACAATTATTCATTGTTATTCCACACTTTAAAACAAATATATGTAGTAAAGAATTATACTTTTATTGTTATTTTCTCCTTATATTTTGATTTTATTTCAGACAATTCCAGTTAAAAGTGTTCCATGGTAAATCCTAGAAGATACATGTAGTCAGGAAACATGTAAAAGTGAACAAGCTTGTTTGAGTCAAACTTCAGATTCTTCTATTTGTAATTCCTTTAAGCTGGGAGCCTTGAACAGATTTCTCAGTTTTTTTTTGGCAATTTGTATTTTTTTTTTTTTGGCTTTAAAAAAATGGAACAATGTAACTCGGAGTAGTTTAGTCGATATAAACTGATTCTTATTAAGACATATATTCTGAACTAGAATAAATCTGTCTTTATGTCCAACTCTAGCCCATCCCTGGGTGTTGGATTTCTTGCTGCTTTAATTTGTAGGCCATGCTTTATTCTAAATATTTAAAGTAACTATTTCTTAATAACATATTATGTCATTCATTGTTCAACTTAAATATAATTTTAGTTGAAAGTGTTACAAGATGCCTAATCAAATTGATTTTTTTTCAAGGTACACAAAATGGTTAGCTCTTATTTGACAGCTTTAATGTTATTATTTTTTTCATTTCAGAGAATGGAAATGAAGAAAACTGTACTACTACATGTACCAAGGAAGCAAGAATTACTGTTTTCAAATGTCACAAAGACAGCTGCACAAGAGAATTCTCAACATCAGCAGCAGTGATGAGCATGTCCTCATAGTCAATTGCTTGTTAAATGGTGTAAAAATGAAAATATCAGAAAAAGCAAAAAGATTGTATGCAGATAAGATAATTTCAAATCAGTCTCAAAAATCCATATCTTTAGAATCAACAAATAATTCATTGGCACTTAATGCAGATAAAGTTCTTCAAATGGGATAGGGCATCAAAGTCACTAAATCCAGAGTCACATTAAGTCAACAACTCAGGCAATATATTATATATAACTGAAAAATCTAACATTGCGAATGTGACTGGTAACAAGGTAGATACTTTAGTGGCTGCTGATGAGATACGAAAATCCTCTTTATACAACATGTACAAAAAGGAGGATTTTGTATCAGGACAACAAATTGATTCATTTTTCTCCCGCCTTTGTCAGAAAGAAAAAAAAACTGAAGATTATGTAGCAGCAGAGGAAGAAGACAGAAAAGAAAATATAAAGTACTTTTGGAATCAAACAGTTAAAAAGTTCTTTAGTTTGAATTCTTTTGTTTAAAGGAGGAGGTTATTTTAGCAAAAATTATATTGTAAAGCATCTATAAAATGTGAACTAAAATACCTTTGAAATAAAATGATCATTTATAGAGATTCTACAGTCCAAAAGTAGAAAAAATCCAATTAGTCTTCAAAATTTGCAAAGAAAACACACATATATTGACATGAAAGGCGTTTATAAAAGAAAAACCATCATCATAAATTATCTAGTTAAAAAATGAAGAGGAAAATTGACCAAAATCAAATTGTTTTCAGGGAAACTTGCAGACAGGCACTATTTATGGTATAACCAGTAACAAGAGTGCACACGATGAAATGTCTCGCCTTCTTTACTAATCATTGATATTATGTTGATAGTCCTAAATATAAAGCTTTACTAAAACTATCAAACTAACTTCACATAATCCAGGAAAATGATGTCAAGGCCATATAAACCAAACAAGAAATACATGTACACCTTACAATCATTCAATACACTAAATAGAGTTGACCTATTGCTTATAGTTTCTAAGAAACAGACTTAAACAAGAAAACTAAACATTGACCAATGAACCATGAAAATAAGGTCAAGGTCAAGGTCAGATGAACCATGCCAGGCAGACATGTACAGCTTACAATTCTTCCAAACAACAAATATAGTATACCTATTGCTTATAGTTTAAGAAAAAGACCAAAACACAAAAACTTAACACTGAGCAATGAACTGTGAAAATGAGGTCAATGTCAAATAAATCCTGCGAGACTGACATGTACATCATACAATATTTTCATACACCAAATATAGTTGACCTATTACATATAGTCATAGAAGAAAAGACCAAAACTCAAAAACTTAATTTTGACCACTGAACCATGAAAATTAGGTCAAGGTCAGATGACACCTGCCAGCTAGACATGTACACCTTATAATCATCCCATACACTAAATATAGTAGACCTATTGCATACTGTATAAGGAACAGACCAAAACACAAAAACTTAACCTAAATCACTGAACCATGAAAATGAGGTCAAGGTCAGATAACACCTGCCAGTTGGACATGTAATCTCTTATATTCGTAAGATGACTTTTGTTTATCTCTTAAATCCATTTTGATGAAATACTCATCAAATCATTTTTTTTTTTTTTTTTATTAAGACAAAAATGTTGCTTTAACTAAAATCTGTGAAATAGCATTGTCTACTTTAGCATACCAAGGCTATAGAAAACATCATGACAACATTGAAACCAGTGCAAATGTTTACATGAGATATTGTTTAGCATTTGTTTACACTTCAAATTTGTTGCTACAAGAAAATAGTGTTGATTTTGACTTGCGTCCAAAAAAATTGACATGTTAGACCTTATTGCAGATCTTCAAATATAATCCATATGTTTCCATGGTAACCATCTTCTATACCAGATTTAGGTTGAACATAAATGTTAGTCTGTATAATGCCATTTAAATTCCTAACTTGTTTTAATCTTCTTTTTTTCTTCTTCTAAATTTGCAGATTTTACAATGTTTTATATTTTTTGGCAAAAAATTGCAATTTTGAAATCCCCGTTTCCATAGCAGCAGACATATTATTTGTTAAGTTGTATTTCTCTTGTAAATGATAAATTCAAGTTATGTAAGATTAGAGAAGTTACTGGTTAACTTTTAATTACATTTTTTAATGAAAAAACTGGAAAAAATGTAAAATTTTAACTTTTTTGTTTCCATGGTTACCACCCTTGGAAACAAGATCTCCAAGAATTTTATTCCATATATCGAAACTATGATATGTTGCCTCAATGGAAAGTATAATGTCTTATTCCAACATGGATGTGTAAGTTTGCTATACATCCTCAAAAACTGTCTAAATTGGGTATTACATATACCTGTTGAACTCTTCCATGTATCCAAGGACCAAGTGAGGGTAACATAACATATTTTATATTTTTAGATTTAGTCATTTTATCAATTTGTAATGATATTCATATAAATAATAGGTATTTTAACTCATATATTGCTATTTAAGTGGATATTAATGCCTGAAAAAGACCTATTTCATAGTTGAAAAGGAGCAATTTTGAAGGTAAACATAGAATAGCCTGTTACCATGGCAACCATGGTCCATAGCAACAATATCAATATTATTTTTTCATTTATTCATAAAAGTGTGATAACTGACAAAGTTTAAAGCTTTTCTGAAACTATGCGTGCCACACCCTTTATCTGGCATGGTTGATATTTAAAAAAAATCCATGTTAAAATGTGCATTGACTATATACAATCCAAAAAAAAAAAAAAAATTTCAAATGGAACATTACTGTTATTTGTTGGAAACGAAGTAGGAACGCTATAATTTTCATCAAAATATTACTAACAGGAGGTGTTAGGTTCATGTCAGTTGGTCAGCAAAACGAGTTACATTAAAGACGCCTTCAGAGGTACCCATACCGTGTATATCAATACTGAGTTGTTTATGCAGTGGAACATATCTGGAATACATCTGAAACGATGAAGTGTATGAAATAAACACTTTAGAAATTGTGTCTGAAGTGCTTATCTGGATTAACTTATAACTAAATGCTCAAATATAAACATTTGAAAATCAATGTTGCGTATATATGCTGCAACGTTCGGAGCAATTTGACCAAAAAGATGTAACCAGAATTGGGGAGGTGTACATAGTAATGCATTAAAACGTAGTAAACCTCGTTGAAAAGATATTAAAAATTGTATATCAATATTTAGAATCTTTCTGAAACCACATAAACTAATAAAAAAGCACATCCATAGGTAATTTTGATATATTTTATCTCTAACCGAATATTAAAACGCGGATGTGATATGAAAGTTTCTTCTCTCGCTATTCCAGAAACAACATTAAAAAAACACAAGAATGAAAGTACGAAACCCCCACCCCTTAAATTTATATCCATTTAAATGACTGATAAAAAGTTTATCAAGACACCTATGATTTGAAACGATTACGAGTGTAGAGACGATTTGAATCAAGTATTCAATGGCAAAATACATTGTAGTAGTGTAAACGAATTTCATAAATTTTACGATAATACTTTCTAGAAAAGAGCATTGGCTCCACCTTGTTGAACATGTATTTTCTTTTAAAGTTTTATCTCATAAACAAAAACAAAATGTTACAAAAGCTGCTGGTTCAGTTAGGTGAATGTTAATTGTGTTGGAAACTAAATGAGTAAAAAAAAAACGATAAAAGACAGTCCTGTTTTATAAAATGAGCTTTCATGACCTCATTTCGAATGGTTTATTTTATAGAGCAATACTTTGCCACTTGTTCTATTGAACACCAATAGACTGTTCCCTAATTTGTCGTAATGAATTCCAGTTGGGTCCCGCAGATCATCTTTCTGAATTTCGATTTCCTTATGGTATTTACCATCAGATGAAACCACTACAACATTGTGAGATAAGGTGCAAACTACATATGTATTTCCATTCCCATCTGTTGTAACGTTGTATGGACGCTTTATCTTCTGATCAGTAAACTTCCATAGGACTGATCCTTGCAGGTCGCAGCAGTACAACGCATCTTGTGTGGGATCAATCATGACCAATCTACTTTTAGCAGTTGCAATGTACCATACAGATGATGGAGAATTAAATGAATTTATTATTTCCCCTTTCAGATTCAATACATCAATCTTTTTCTTGTCGATATTCGCATACAATAGTTCATTTCGATAGGATACCAAAGGCACTTTTGACCGTTTGTTTTAATAACATTCTGTACTTGTCCTGTGTTTATATTTATAATCTGCATGTACGGTGTTTTGAATGTGAGAACTACATAACTGTCATTTATTGCTGATATGCACAAGGGTTTATCTGACAGTTTGATATCTCGGTAGTAAGTTCCGTCGCTATTGTGTACAACTAATCTTTTGTCACAATTGTCGGTGAAAATAAACTTGTTATTGACAGTTGCACAGTCAAGCAGAAGTAAGCTATCCTCTAACTTTTTTATTTGGAATTTGTTTTTTAGTTCAACATCAAACTGGAGAGATAACTTTCCTGGTATATGTGCCTGAGCGTTAAATACTTCTGCAAAATAGAAAAAAAAGAACTGATATCCCTGTGAATAACCTATGTGTAGTTTGCTCATGGCAAAGAGTGTGAAAAAAAATCCGAATTATAAAAAAATTGAAGCATGAAAAACAAAACAACGTACAATTTATTTGAAGTAAAATTTGTATCTAAAAATTTACAAATAATTTTATATTTTGAAATAATATTACAAAATAGTAATGGTGTGTATGTAGTTCGTTAAAGATTAGGATATCGTTCTTGAACCTTGTGATATGAATAACAACACAGAGAGTTGTTGTCCGTTAAATATTTTATGTAGAAAAATCACTGCTTTCCCATTTGGAATAAAACTAATTCACAACCATCCTTAGAGTGACCAATTTAGAAATATGTCTGCTCATCCGTTCATGGATCATGCATAATAGTATAAAACTTAGCAATTGTCATATCTTTAAATCGTAATAGACAGAAAAAAAAATCTTTAAGTGCAGAAATATTCAGGATATAACTATTTATCTGCTGCACATTTGCCCAAAAAGTAAAATAACACAACCGAACTCCAAGGATAATTAAAAAACGAATGTCTCTTTTCAAATGACAAAATAAAAAGCTCAAACACATCAAACTAATGGAAAACATATGTCATATTGCTGACTTTATACAGCCATTTTCTTATGGAGAACATTATGGGTTATACCTAAGTTTTACAGCTAGCTAAACTTTTCATTTGTATGACCGTGCATAAAATTCCAATATTTTGACATCAATATGTCAACAAAACAAACAGACGTAATAAGCTAAACTGTCAAAAATTTGGGTATAACAGTGATAACCTTAATCGCAAAAGGCATACTACCCCCAGGCAATTTGCCTTTAACGATTTTTGTTTATTATTATATTCATTATTTCGTCGTCAATCAGGAACATATGAAATTCCTTCGTTTCTTCTGGTACGAAAATAATGACTTCGGGAAGAATTTGGTTGAGTACCAAATGAAAGTCCATGTATTTGGAAACTGTCCATTATCGGCAGTCGCTTCATACTTCTTAAGTAAACAAAATTTACATATGTATCAGATGTTGGGGTATTCGTGAATAGAAATTTCTATGTTGACGATGGGTTAGTTTCTCTGGCAACGTCAAGAGAGGTTATCGATTTGCTTCAGCGAACTCGAGAATCTCTTCAAACAGGAGGTAATCACAAAACTACATCCAACAGCAAGGAAGTAATGGATGCCTTTGAACATCGAGACCGTTCAAAAAACTTCAAAGACATTGACTTTTGTGTCGACGAATTTCCTACTCAACAAGGTCTAAGTCTAAATTTGGAGTTAGAGAAAGACTCCTTCAAATACAAAGTTACCCTTGAAGAGAAACCATTCAGTAGACGAGGATTATTATCCACTGTGAATGGGATATTCGATCCTATAGGATTCGTAGTCCCCGTTTTCGTTACAGGGAATTTATTACTTCGAGAAATCGCCAACGGCTCATATGACTGGGATGACCCACTTCCTTGACATCTGTTTGTAAAGTGGTCCGACTGGAAACAATCACTCATCTTGCTAGAGCGCTTGCACATTCCGCATTGTTTTCGCCTGCTTCTTTACGTAATGCTGCGAGGAAGGAGCTCCACATATTTTCTGACGCCTCCGAACAGCCGATTGCATCAGTGGCTTGTTTAGGGACTAAAGACATGGACAATAACTATCACGTAGGGTTCGCTCTTGGTAAAGCCAAGATGGCCCCGACACACGGCCATACAATCCCAAGTCTCGAGTTGTGTGCCGCCGTACTTGCGGTTCAAGTTTCTTAAATTTTTCTCGAGGAACTAGACCTCCAATTTGATCAAACTCATTATTATACCGATAGTCAAGTGGTGTTAGGCTATATACACAACCAAGGCAAGCGTTTCTACAAGTACGTCAAGAATCGTGTTGAGAGAACTCATAAATCTACGCAACAAAAATCAATGGTCACACGTCCGGACCAACTTAAATCCAGCAGACTCGGCTACAAGGACAGTTTGCGCTCAAACCTTTCACAGCAGTATTTGGATTCTTGGACCGCCTCATCTTCGTGAACTCGAAGCAGGAGGTTCTGATGGAAAAAATTAAATCATTAAAATCCAACATAGAAATCAATAAAGAGGTTTTCAAAATCAGACACGAGACGGATAGGTTTTCCGAGTGGAACTCATAAGTTAAATCAATATATCGCTTGAAAGTGCTAGCAAGGAAATATCGTTGCAATGATTGATTGATTGATTGATTATCGTTTGCTTTACGTCGCATTAGCACAGAAAGGCTATATCGCGGCGAGAGCTAATTTGAATATTATAACAATTTAAGGTATATTTTTAAAATCAGACAAAAGGTCTTTCAATAAGCTAAAATTCTAGACTAAAGCATACTGATTATTTACAAATAAAAATCAACACTAAGATAACGTGATAAAAATTAAAATCGTTTTAAATATAACAACATTTTTTATATTTTATAATATATTCCAATTTCTTTTAAGAATGAAACAATATTTGTAAATGGAACATTATTAAATAAATCATACACATTATTGACTTATTGACATTGAAATGCTTCTTCCGAATATCAGCAAAGTCAATACAATTAATTAAAACATGTTTAATAGTATACTTGCAGTTGCAAGGTACACATTGTGGTTTATCTTCATTTATTAAAAGATACTCATGTGTCACTCTAGTATGACCAATTCGGCATCTAGAAATAACACACTGATCTTTTCTGCACATTAAATTATTAAAAGGTTTACCTAAAGTAGGTTTAATTTCATGTAATTTGTTACCATCTCTCTTACTCCATTCATTTTTCAAAATATTAAAAACATATTCTCTAATATTAGATTTAAAATCTGTATATGGTAGATAAAGTGTCACCCAGGGCATTCTTTGCCTCAAGGTCTACAGCTGTGTTTCCATGGATTCCAACATGACTCGGCACCCATAGACATATTATTTCTTTAAGAAGAATTTTTAAATTCCTCATTACATATAAAATTTTGAGAATTGTTGGTTTTTAATTTTAGTATTTTGTATAGCTTGTAAGCATGAAACGAATCAGAACATATAATAAATTTGGATTTATCTGAAGAAGCAATAAATTTCAAAGCCAAAATTATTGCTTCTGCTTCAGCAGTAAAGATAGATGCAGCAGATGGCAAACGGAGAGTTGCAACTCTGTCCCTGAAGACAGCAGCAGATGCAACTCTGTCACCATCTTTTGATCCATCAGTATAGACAGTTAAAAAATTTGAATAATTGGGTTTAATCTCAGCATAGTGTTGCTGAATTAAAAGAGGATTTGTTTCATTTTTATTGTGTTTACGGAGATCAAATATCATTTTTGGTTTGGGAAGTTCCCATGGAGGACATTTGCAAGTTTCAACTTGAGCAACAGATTTTAAATCAAAAGTAGCTAAATGTGGTTTGAAACGTATATCTAAAGAAGGAATTTTATTTTCATTGTTTTGCAAAAATATCTTCATAAATTGGATTAAAAACACAGCTGTAGGCAGGATTATCTGAATAGCCTTTTAGTTTGACAGCATATTGAAGTCCAAGCTTCAAACGTCTGTCAAAAAGTAAATGCTCATCATTAATTGGGTTTCCATATAAAGTGAGTTCTGGATCAAGATGCAATTTCCTTTTGTTACAGAAATGCATCCCAACCGTTTAAGATGAGGAAAATTTAAAACCATTTTCTGAGGCCCATTTTTCGATTCTTCCGAGACACAGTTGCAATTGGCGTTCTATGTTATTCATATTTTTGCCTCTATAACATATTAAAAAATCATCAACGTACAATGAGCCTTCAATATTACTTTTTAAAACTTCAACAAGACTGTTAATTTTAAGACGAAATAATGTCACAGATAAAATACTGCCCTGAGGGACACCCATCTCTAGATCATACAGATCAGACATGGTTGAATTAACTCTAACATTAAATTGTCTGTAAGAGAGAAAATTAGAAATAAAATTTGACATATTGCCTTTCAACCCCATATCAAAAAGATCTTTTAAAATACCATACTTCCACGTAGTGTCATAGGCTTTTTCAAGATCGAAAAAGACCGACACCACATGTTGATTTTTCGCAAAACCATTACGGACAAATGATTCGAATCGGACAAGATGATCAAGAGTACTGCGGCCCTGTTGGAATCCACACTGGATATTAGCTAATAGCCCATTTGATTCCAAGAACCAAACAAGGCGATCATTGACCATCCGTTCGAGTGGTTTACACACACAACTAGTAAGAGCAATTGGTCGATAATCAATAGGATCCGTGTGATCTTTACTTGGTTTTGGAATAGGCACGACGGTTGCAAGCTTCCAGATTGATGGTAAATCACCAGATTCCCTAATGTTATTCATAAGCTGCAACAGAACTTCCAGAGAGGAATCTGGCAAGTGTTTTAACAGTTGATAATGGATGTTATCAGGCCCACAAGCTGTGTCATGGGCTTTAGAAAGAGATGTTTTAAGTTCTTTCAAAGAGAAAGGTTTATTATAATTTTCACCATTTTTTTATTTAAAGTTAAGCTTAATTTTTTCTTTCTTTTCTTTAACCTTTTTAAAATCTTCTTTGTAGTTGTTAGAAGAAGAAGATTTCGCAAACGTTTCACCAAGCTTGTTGGCAATATCTTTTTCAGATGTTAATAAAGAATTGCCGTCTTTCAAATGTTTAACAGTGGCTTTAGAATTTTTACTTTTTTTTTTTGTATCATATTCCAAGCTTTTGTCATCGGAGTGCGAGATGTTATCCCCGATTTTTTCCAAGATGTTCGTCGGGCTTGCCTGCAAGTCCGCCGTGCCTTAGCGCGAAAAATACGAAAATTATTTAAATGTCTTGTGTAGGATGTTGATTAAACCGTCTTTCAGATTTTTTACGGTCATTACGGTCATCAATGGCTTGATCACAAGCGTCGTCATACCATTGTTTGCTATGGTGTTTTGGATTTGCCGAGGTCTTTGGAATTGTTCGGTCAGCAATAGACGTTAAAACAGTATTAAAGGTTAAAATTGGATCTTGTACAGCCTAAAACATCTTTGATTGAAGTTCTGTTCGACAAAGTGATTCAAACAAGGGCCAATCAGCCTTGTCTAATTTCCAACGAGGAATTCTCTGTTGAGCAGAAGTAAAAAGATGCTCAAGAATAATTGGAAAGTGATCACTTCCACAGAAATCATCACGGACACGCCATGAATAATCAAGAAGAAGAGACGGATCACAAGTAGTTATATCAATAGCAGAATAAGAACCGTTTCCAGGGTGAAGATAAGTATTAGATCCATCATTAAAAATACATAAACCCTCTTGAGAGACAAAGTCTTCAATGATTTTACCTTTGGCATTG